GGGGAACGTTATTTACTTCCAGAAAAGTTACCACGTTCGCTTTTACTGCGAGTCGCTCGCCAAGAGCACCTTTGTCGAACCAAGAAAGACGAACCTGGGAGTGTTGTGACTAGGAAAGGATCGATGATTTGAAAGCTTCGAAGCATTTCAGAGCATGCAGCAGGAAAACAGAATGAATGCAAGCAACGAGTGGGCCTATCTCCTGGAAGCACCCTCAGAGATATTTCAAGGGTTTTGTCTTGGAACTTTTTCTTTGATTTCAAGTTTCTTTTCGGACCATATAAATGGTAATTCATATGCGAGCGTTCCAGACTATTTTGGAAGGGTTGTTGGCTGAAATGATTGCGCAGCGTGAACGGAAACTGCGCTCCATCTCCTGTTGTCTTCACATTTGAGGCTGGTGAGTCACACAGGCAAGTATGGTTCTTTTGATCCGCCTGCTCGATATCCCTGTACCATTCGTCAAACCAACTTATCCTGACCTGTATCACAACAATGCGCTCATGTGGCTCCAAATGACTGGTGCGCTCAAACACCGACCGTAACCGCGCTGGTGCTTTTCCCCCATTTTCTGCACTTAGATGTGTAATTCTGATGTGCTCAAGTCAGTGCTGAAGTACGCTTCCGAGCGCATCCGAAACCCAGACGCCGAAGAGATCAGGAGTCATCACGAATTCTTCTCCGACCATTCTCGGTCCAAACAACAGCTAATCAGCCAACAAAGGCCAGATTTAGAACCAAAATCCCCGAGGATCACTCCGAACTTCTTTAGAGATAATGACGTCAAGTACCCTTCGTAATTACCATCGATTGAAAATGCTAGAATTCTATCAATCTGTATCCCTCTTCTGGCATCCATCTTATCGCAAACGACCGAACTATTCACTATTAAGCCTCCTCGTCCTATCATGCTGGCTGATTTCAGCACACGCACCCAATAGGCGCACACTGCAGTCGTTCTCCCCTCCCTCCTCCCTCCCTCCCCTCCCTCCCTCTGCCTCTGCCTCTGCCTCTGCCTCTGCCTCTGCCTGCCTCTGCCTCTGCCTCTGCCTCTGCCTCTGCCTCTGCCTCTGCCTCTGCTTTTGCCTCTGCCTCTGCCTCTGCCTCTGCCTCTGCCTCTGCCTCTGCTTTTTGCCTCTGTCGATTGTCAACTCTGTCTCTGTCTCTGTCTCTTGTCTCTGCTCTCTGTCTCTGTCTCTGTCTCTGTCTCTGTCTCTGTCTCTGTCTCTGCTCTGTCTCTGTCTCTGTCTCTGTCTCTGTCTCTCTGTCTCTGTCTCTGTCTCTGTCTCTGTCTCTGTCTCTGTCTCTGTCTCTGTCTCTGTCTCTGTCTCTGTCTCTGTCTCTGTGTCCACGCATAGAAGAATATTACATAGCTTTCACTCCCTCACGTGTACCTCATTGAAGCGTCTGGTGATCATGACGATGTGTGGAGCCTTCTGCATCTTCTCTGGTTTCATCCAGTTCTGGCAGAGGAACTCCCTGCGGAGGACGGCAAGGGGGCGATTAGTGACCGGCGCTGGGGTGGGGGCTAATCGCTCGCCCTGCTGCATGCCACCGGCCCATCAGGACCTCTTAGCCCCTACCCCTCCCCCTCCCTTCCGGACGACGGCACGACAGTCGCACTTGGTTTACCGGGGGGAGGGGCGGTGGCGCGGCGCGGCTTGGAGCGCCAGTCGTTACGCACACTTCAGCGTTGTAAGGAGAGGGCGTCGACAGAAAATACGGGCGACGCTGGTGTTGACTGCAGCGTTCGAGGTCGGACTGCAGCACATGGCTGTATTGGTTCAGGTGGCGTCGGAAATTTAGGAATTTGGAAGAGGTCAAAACAATGACAACTTTTTTCGCTGTAGTGTTTTTTCGGACAGTATGGCATGCAGCAAGGCAAACACGAAGAAGCAATAAACCGGCATAACACAAAATGCGGTGGTTTTCATTTCAGACCTTGAATGGCCGACAGGTTGTTGAATGTGCTGCATTAAATCCTTTGAGAAGAATAAAAAACATGCAAATGTTTTTTAGGCATCACGCCTCCCTGTTAAATAATTACAATTAACTAACACTTACAAGCTAAAAAGAATGGGTAAACTAGACGTGGGTAGGACGGAGCAGAGGGCTGTTTCTTTTCCATTATTTTCAAACCCCTGAGGAACAGCGAAACGTTGTGTTCACGGATGGAGTGAGGTCAGTGCATCGTGCCCAATTTCTTTTGTAGCACAGTTGGACGATATGTCTTTTGGACAAGTGGCTACATAAAGCGTTGATTTTACTTGGCGTTTTTTCGCATCAGTCGTATAAGAAGATAAAAGATCTCTTATCATAGTATGATGGTCGAAATTCTCAGCATTTTCCAGCGTTGTGTTGCACCAAGGGCTAAATTCGGATGATCAGTTTAACGGATGCGTCCTTGTACACGATGCACAAATGAAACGAGGGTAAAATGTTCACTGCGGATGGCTTAAAACAAGCTTGGAAAAGTGCGCTCTTGACAAAAGCGACGGAAACCGTAAATTGAATCCTCACACAAAACAATCATGTACTCTAATAAACGCTGCAACCCAACAAACCAGTCCAAACCATTTAGCCTAAACAGTTGTAAATACACAAATGACTCGATGTAACAGCATCAATCAGATATCCGCCCGACGTTCTAAGCGTCACGTGAGAACTTGAATAGCTTACGACTTATTTGCTTGATTTTGTCTCGTGCCATATCAATGCTGCGCATTGACAGTGTGAACCAATATACTTTGAGGCACCCATTATTGGTAATTGTGTGAAATTGAGTGAAGTGGTCACCCAGCCCATGGCTCGTACCGACGGGTAGATGCAACGCACCCTTTTGTGATCCTCAGCAAGGAGACGATTTTGAGTAGTTATAAATCCAAAGAGGCTCCGGACCAAAGAGATTGTGTGAGAAAGGAAGGAACTTTAGCATCACTCTTAATTGAGGCTCGTTAGATGAAAGGCTTGCGCGCTACAGCGGCCGGTAGGCTTATCACTTGTTTTGCGCCTATTTGCCCCTCGAGTGGCAACTGCAGTTTGGCCTCATGTGCTTGTTTCTACGTTTGGTTGAAAGGAGCGCAATCTATGGGCACCAGTTGTTTGCTTTTCGGTTTTAAAGATGCAGTCTTGCCATTATGACTGACAGAATTTTAATAAATTGTATTATTTGCATTATTCAACTCGGCAGGACATGGCGCTCCAGATATTTTTAATGGCCTTGATTCCGAAGCAGAGTGACTCAGGACACCTGGAAAATCTCAACGGCTCCATTTTAAAACAACACAAGCTAGTTTTCTGATTAACCATGTTAAATCAATTTTCATTTAACTAAAAAAGCGGGCCATCCAATTGTAAAAATATAACAGGTAGGCTTTGAAACAACAGTGAAATGGTGGTGGCAGGCACATACGGATGGCCTTCTTACCAAACACATCCACACACACTTCTCAGTTTCGACATATGAAACCAATACATTTGATATGATAGGAACGTACAACCTTACATTGCGCACTTATGGAAATACGTGTACTGGTTAAGGTAACAAAGTATCTACCGGACGGCTTGGATGCATTTCTGTCTGTCCATCTAGACACTCAGAGCTTTGCACAAAGACCAGAATTCGCACCCACGCCGGAAACTTAACTCCCTTAACGGTCACTCTCGCAACCCGTGTCAGAAACTAACAAACACAACGCGTCGCTGAACATATAGTATCCGCCTGGTGATTTTGAAGACGAGCCGAGACGTAATCGAGAATGATTCCTCCCAGCACACAATTACACACGAGTGTCCTGCCAACGTTCCTCCGCAAAAACATATCAGTGACAATGCCGGCGCGCGAGCTCGTTTTGGCTGTCAGCCTGCATGTGTGGGCTGGTCGGGTGGCTGGTCGGACCACGCACGTTGCCGTTTTCACGGCTAGTCGTCCGGCTCGGGCCTCCCCGCACCAGTGGCCGGGCGGTCCGTCTCCTTCCGGTGTGTTCCGCTCCGGCGGTGGCTATAAGGGCCCACCGGCGGCCCGACAGCGTCTGGCCCTTTGAGCGCTCTAATGTTTCCATTCTGCCGCAAGTCCACAGATCCTATATCGCCAGCACGCACTGAACAGCGCCAAAGGGCCGTCATCACTCAGGCCGCTAAGGCCGCTCCGCCGCGTGCGTTGCCAGCACGCAGGGACGCAGCCAGGATTTTCTTAAGGGAGGGACACAGAGCTTGATGGGCAAGCATCGCACCGTTGCTTAACTCTCTGTCGGGCACCATCTATGGTGAAACACAAAAAATCCACACCTAAGAGGGGTGGGGTGGCCGGCCTCCCTGGACCCCCACATGTCGCGCCCCTGCTAGCACGACGCCCCGCTGCTGCCAGTGGGCGCGGAGAACGTCGATGCTTTTGGCGGGAGCAGCAGCCAAATAGAGTATTCTACGCAGAGCGTGGCCTGCTCAGAGCCTGTCGCGTGCAGGCCATGTTTAAATCCCACTTCAGAACGGCGGCGGCCGGGCCAAAACGGTTGTCGTGAGGATTGAATCCCGCCAGCTGCGCCCTTCCTCCAACTGCGAGCACGAGCACAGTGAATAATTTGCGGAACACATCCGCTGGCAGAATTGGAACTGGGGCATGACGTCAGCGATTAAGACATCCTGGCCTTCTCTCGCGACGGCATTGCTTCGCGGACATCGTCGAGTCCACCGTTGAGGAGTGCGCAGTAAGTCAGCCTATGGTCAGTGAAGCTCGAGGGCAGCTGACGGCCGGTATGCCGGCCGAACACATCGCCTCCTGCTTCATCCCTCCCAGGGGCGGTGCGGTTTGTGCCCCCCCCCCCCCCCCCCCTCCCTCCCCGCGGCAGTCCCGTTAGTACTGTTCCGGCCTGTCCCCACCAGCGGTGGAATCACCGTCGGACGGGAGGGGAACAGCGCGACACGCATCTGCGTACCGACACACATCATTACGCGTCCGAGGGGCGTCGCCGCGACTGGGGCGGCGTGCGGCGCGCGACCGACCGGCGTCGCTCGGCGCCGGGCCGACGCCGCGGCGGCGACACGCACCCGGCTCGCTCGGCGCCGATGGATGGAGACCATATGTTCCGCTGAGCTGGCTGTGTCGGCTCGATGGCGAGCCCGGAGGAAACCACTTGAGTTGGAGCGGGGGAGGGAGGACGGAATCGCGCCGACACAGCCGAGGCGAGGTCAACAACAGCTGGTGCCGCCAAGTTCAGACGTGCTTGACCGATTCGCTACGATCGCTTTAATGTATGTAAACACTGAGCGTTATTTGGCCGTGTTGGGCGCCCCCGGTGCCTCGTTTTCTTTTCAAGACCAGCCCACGCGCCTAGGGTCTAGCCAAGTCAGCAAAACCGTCTTCGGAGCACATCAGTACGTAGAAGGGACCTCCCTGGGCCGTTAAAAGTGTCCGATCGATAAAAACGCAGTCAATAGGGACCGTTATAGCATAAAGCACATCATTATATTCAACCTCTTTAGCTTTCAGTAAACTAGCTCCAAACGTTTTTGACAGTCATGAGCACTGATCATGATAACAGCTGCATAGGGTCTTTCGCCGTTATGTCCATTTGCGCTGATGGAAACGGCCATCTGCAACAGCCGTTAACCACACCCCCATGCAAACCATTCCTGCGCCAGCTCAGGGTATTACCCCATTAAAGCAACTTGTTCGCTTGGACCAACTGCAACTACCGTACGTCAACAGCACTGACGGACCTATCCTCCCAACTCGAAACTGTTTTTACCGCCCGCCTCCAGTATCGACTACCGGTGGTGGCACGAGGACACGAGTCTTCCGCCCCGCCGTCGCTGGGGGTTCGTCAGTTCTCTGTTATCTGCTGCCGACAGTGCAGGTAGCAGCACACACACACACAAGCCGACAGTTGCTAGTCATTGTCAGATGAGACGTGTCCTGAGATTATCAGTGTCCAACAACAGGGGGAGCAATGCCGGTTATTTCATGTAATACACCGCCCGTAGAGATGCATCAGTGCATCGTCCCTCTTTCTCACCAGTGGAGAAGTGCCAGTTATCCTCCATTCTCCACAACAGGATGCTGTCGGCTGCGTCCCTTGAAAACTGAACAGTGCAATTTATTATTGCTATCCCCAACACTAGTGGTTACATCAACAGCCCCTCTAACCCCGGGTGGAGCCGCAGTGGCAGTTGGTTCCTTCACCTTTCAACCATGGAGCACCACCAGTAATCAAAGGGGGCGTGATGGCCGAGTGGTTAGCGCCTTGGACTGCCACGTGGGGGCTCGAGTTCGCATCCCGATTGCGCCATGGCCTCAGAGCACCAATATGGCGAATGCAGTTGGCGGCGCTACATAAAAGGACCGTACCAACGTACGTTACTCTCCCTAAAAAGGAATTACCAATAATCTTCTATTTTCTCTGGCAGTTGGGTGATGTCCACGGGTGTCGATTTGTATTCTTTTGTGAGGGCTCTGCCCCCCCCCCCCCCTCCCCCCCCCCAAT